GTGTGTGTGTGTGTGTGTGTATGTGTAATATACGTGCAGGTGTTTGTGTATGCATGTGGCATAGAGGATGGTAGACTGCTACCGGCTTAATCGCTCGTCAACCTAGAGGGAGTACTTGAGATAAAGATAAATAGCAAGCCATGTACACATACAATCCCAATGCGAACGAAGCGATGTATCGGAACAGTAAATCGGCCCCAAAAGTTTCAAAACGAATCCAATTTAATCAATTTCAGCGCTGAATATTGCCAAATGGTGCCTCGCACTGCCGATTGCCAGGTGCTGGGAGAGGCCTTCAGTGGTGGGGTTTCTGCACATATCGGATACCGCAGTAAGTGCAGCGCTGTGGCTCGGGATTGTCCTGAATCGAATGGGACGAATATTTGTCAGTGCATGGCACAACAATAGAAATTTGGACATCAGATGAAGATTTGTTCTGATTTGACTGAGAAAATGGGTTGTTGGTACGCAGTGAAATAATAGCTGCCAGAGATTGTCCTAATTCGAATGGGCAAAATTAAATATCTGTACGTAGCAAGTTATCTATATACTGGTCGGGAATCGCCCTGAACTAGTTAAGAAAAGGGGTCGCTAATACACGTAGTACAATAGCATCCGAACAATGGTGTGTGAATTCTGATTTTAAGCATAGCTTCAAAACTAACCTTTTGTGTGTGAACATCACTAACCAATATTTCAATAAGTGAGGATAACCAGAAAAAAGCCAACTACATAGAAAAACAACATGGTGACGCAGTCTCCAGTTCTAAGCACCAAATGGTACTACAACATATGCGCAAGATAGGTGTAGATCATAATATATTAAAGGGAGCACCACAAGAAGAAACAACTATATGATACGGAAACAACAAAGTGTCGCGTATAAAGGCATTGAACTAGTGCGCGTGTAAGACTAGAAAACATCATTGTATTTACCTCAGCAATACCACTAATTGATACTAAAATCGACCAAGCTAACATGCATACGAGTCAAACATCTCAGCAGTACCACTAATTAATATAAAATCAACCACGCTAACACGCATACAAGACGGGCAAACATCATGGCACGTAACTCGGCAATACCCAGAACTAATACCAAACGCTTTCACGTTAACACACATACGAGACGAATAAGCATCCTTGTAAGTAGCTCAGCACTATTAAAAACTAACACTGCAACGCTAAACGCTTTCAAATCAGCACGCCTACGAGATAGGTACACATCATTGCATGTAACTCGACAGTACCAAAAAATACTACTGCAACGCTAACCACCCCCCCCCCCCTGCCCCCCTGTGAGTACACTTACGAGATTGATGAAGATCTTTGGATGTCCTAGTGCGCCGCCCCCACCGTCACAGGACACTATTCGGCCCATGACCTCAACGGGTGGAATCTGGTTCACCAGGTCTTGGGCTGGGTTTGCATTCACCTGCGAACAGATGAACATGAATGGGTTACTTGAGTGCCTTGAACGTTGGTTGTAAACGCATCACCCGTGTGATCAGTTCGCTGAACGAGTATATAGTGAGGATACGTATCCGGATGTGACAGGCTAAACAGAATATAGAGATGGTACACAAACATAGTGATCCTATACGAAGTGTACCCTATCCAGGAAGATATCTACACAACAGAGTGATAATGTTGTAGCATACACGCAATGCTCATATATAAGTATGTACGTATGTATGTATGTATCCATGTCTGTATGTGTGTTTGAATGTACGTATGTATGTATGTATGTATGCAATTATGTATTTATATATATATATATATATAGTGTAGAATACACGCAGTGCGAAAAATATATGTATGCCTGTATGTATATATGTATGTATGCATGTATATAATATGTTTGAATGTATATATGTATGTATGTATT